GCTCACTTGGTAGCCCAGGCTGGCCTCGAACTCACAGAGATCGGCCTGGCTCTGCCTCCCGAGTGCTGGGATTAAAGGCGTGCGCCACCAACGCCCGGCAAGGATGTTTTTTTTTTTTTTTTAAATGTCTCTGGAGTGGTCCGGAGACAATCTTGGACATAGCCAATAATATTGCCAGTATCCTGGGGAGGAAGAAATCAAAGGTGTCTGGGCTGTGCCAGGGAAAGAGGAAGTATGGCAGCGGGGGTTGGAAAGTGGTAGGTTCTACTTGGAGATGTCTGGAATCTGGCTTTAACTTCTCCGGGAGGGGAATCTGGGGAGGAGAGTATGGCTTAATACAGTTCTCAAGATTAAATGGGATCTTGGAGATAATTTAGGTTTCCATAGTAGTGGAAGTGGAGAGTTCTCAGGACTCAAGATTCTTTTGTGGGTTAGGAATAAGGCATGCTGCTGGATGTGGGATGGTAGAAAAGATTGAAATAGGGCTTACTTGTAGGTCTTGCTCTTCAGAACATATCTGAATCATTAGAATTTGAAAACTGAGGGAGAAAAACAGGTTAGGTCGTGTATTAAAAGAAGAGAGGTATATGAGTAACAAATATGAATACTTTTAACTTGGTAAGTTAAGTGTTTGCAGATATATATATATATATATATATTGTATATATTCATATTCATTTGGATTGTGAACTTAAACTTAATAATTTGACTATGAAAGCAAATAAAATGCCACATGCAAACAAGCTAATGGCCAGTGGAATGCAGTATTTAGTTTCTATATTGGTTCAAAGACAGGCAGTATTTGGAAAACATGAAGAATTTTTTTATTTCACAACCTACTGAAGCATCTATACCCTTACACATCCCTCATGGGTGTGGGGCAGTTACATACACAGTGCTATGAACATGTGTTCAAATGCTTGCCAGTCATATGAAATTCTCACTTTCAAAACCTTGCTGTCAGTTTCATAAGGTATAATTTGATGTGGCTGATACCAAGAGAGAACTGACTGAAAAGCAGGTTTCAGATCTCCAGCCCAGTTTTCCAGCTGCCAAGAGTTTAAAAGGATCCCATCCAAAAGTGTTAGGTCAATGCCAACCTAAGTCTTAGGTGATAGCCAGCCTGCTCTCTGATGTGTACTTTGCCAGTGTTCATTAAACTGGAGGCAGAATTCTAATGGGATGCCAATCACAATGATCTATAGGTTCAAATTGAATGTTGTATCACTGCATTACAATCACATATGCAGAAGTCTAGAATAGGGCCAAGTGGAAGGTACAGAATTCAAGAAACATTTGGCTGCTGACTTTCAGCATCCCTTTTCTTTGAGCCCGTTTCAAACGTTAGAACAAGCTGGTAGGAGAGGAGCTATGCATTCAGGACCATCCAGATTCCAAAATATTTACCCAGTGCCAAGTATGTTGTTAAATCTATAAAGGACTTTGACATTGTAGCTTGCCAATATTGAACTTCACAAAGGACAAACTTGGGGTCCATAGAGCTTAACATCAGACACAGATGGATCAATAAACTGGTGGGCTCTTCAGTGCTATGTTTAGATTCTGGACTCACACTCTTCCGTGTTAAGAAGCAGACTAGACATAATTATACCTCTTCTTCCTAAAGCTAGAATGAGATTGTAAACAAATGGCCTAGGGTCCATGCTAGGCTATCATATGACCTTCCCTTTCTGATTCTTATTTCTTGTTTTGTTTGTTTGTTTTTCAAGAAAGGGCTTCTCTGAGTAATAACTTTGGCTATCCTGGAACTCTCTTTGTAGACTAGGCTGGACTTGAACTCACATAGATCCTCCTGCCTCTGCCTCCCAAGTGCTTGGATTAAAAGTATATACCACCACAACCCAGCACTTGGTTTATTTTTATGAGGAATCATACTGACTCATCTATCTAAGAAAGCACCACTTACTGGGTGACTTAAATAATAGAAAGATGGTTTCTCACCATCATGAGCCTGTTAAGTATCAAGTGTCAGTACTCCATCTCTAGGTTCTAGGGGAATAAAGTTTTTCCTTACTTTTTATTGGCTGCTGGTGCATTCTAGCAAGGAAAAGCATTTCTTGGCTAATGTCTGCAGCCTGTCAAGATCATCCCGTATCATTCTCCCTAATTTTGAGTCTCTGCGTGTTTTTCTTCTTTTAACAATGAAAAAGTTCATATTAGATTTAGGGCTCATATCAGCCATACTAATTGTATCTGCAAAGATCCTATTCCAAAGAAGGGTACATTCTACAATTGCAAGATCACATGGATTTGGGGAGAACTATTCAAAAATCATTAGAAATACTGAATGCAATTTAATCAAGGAGTAAGCAAATTGCATTTATTTTTAATGAATGAATATGTTGTCTTTTCTATTTTTAAATAGGTTCGGTTTTTATCTCTCAGGAAGATTTTTTTCAATGAATTAATATGTTGACTTTTAAATTTTGAAATACATTTACTTTTTTCTCTCAGGAAAAACTACAAAACAAATGACAGCAACAAAAACCAGACAAAACATGCTGGTGTTGTGACATCTCCAATGTCCTTAAGAGTACATTTGATGGGTTCTTTTCTCTAGAGATCTCTTCCTTTAGACCTGTAGGGCCTTGTACTTCATGGACATTGAGGACTGAAAACTAAGCTGGTAATGAAACTAGGAAAAGAATAGAGTTTGCTTGATACAGACTCAGGTGATGCTATCAGGTAGGACTGTACTGCCATAGACCACACACTCAGATTTTCACTCCTTACCCACGTATGATAAAACTGAGTTAGCCTATACTGGGGGAGAAAGCCTCTTCAGATACCATAAGCTATTACAAAAAATGGCCAGTGCCTCTTTGCAAGCTGTTGTTCAGTGCATGCTCATAAATTCCATCACCAAAAATGACAGGCCATTGCTGTTGTTCTTGGCTACCCTCTAGAACTTGATGTTAAACTGCTGTCACTGAAGACAACACCTATATACATCATAGGACATGGGAAAATCAAGCTAGGGCTGACTTGGACTCTTCAGTCCTGCCTGCTAACTTGATTCATAGTAGAAGGTGCGAGCCATACTACCAAGGGGAAAAAGTCATCAGCAGCTTTATCCAGCTATGAACTCTGTAGGTTACCATGACTGGATGGATGCAGAATGAACTCTTAAGTCCTGCTTTGCCTGAGGACCTATTGGCAATTGATGACTGCTGGGAGAAGGAGAGTTGAATATATTTTAATGATATTTTTGGCACAAAATCTGTGTTTTATAATTACAACAATCCTTAATTGAGGAAAAACTGTATCCAAGTGAACAGTGGCCACTGTGATTAGTGGCCACCATTCTGAATGAGCAATGCAGATATAGGTAACTCTATCAGAGGCAAACCTTTGTGATGGGAATGGCCATCACATTTCTGTGATGTTTGTTTTTGGTTTTTGTTTGTTTTCAGGGAGACTCCTTAGAGGCTATCCATACTAGAATACATTGTCCTACATCTGTGCGCTTACAGGCAGACCTAAGAGGAAACTGGGTTTTTTAGAAAAAAAAAAATAGCACATGCAGTTGGATAAGAAAATGGTGAAGAGGATGGGGTAGGAACTGGAGAGGAGGAAATGGGATGATCAAAACACAATATGTGCATTTTTTAAATAAATAATAAAAAATTTTAAATAAACGTATAATCTTCCCATCAATGTTTCTTCCCAGATATCAATGCCTATGTAGCTTTACAATTCCAAGATTTATGATCTTACACACCAATTATGTGCCATTATCTTACTATCTATTGACTTTAAACCAGGGCAATTTCCCGTTTTTATAAAACAGTTTCTCAGCCAGAATTCTTGCTCAAACCAACTCCTGTACCAGCTTTTAGAAAATTAAATATGACAAAATTAATAGAATTAACACTTGGGTTTGATCTACAATAATATTCATATCACAGAGCTGTGTTTATGCAACTAAGATCAAATGTAACAATTTTGGAGAATGGGTAAAGGAAAATATCAATTCACCACTGCTAAAAGTTGGTACAGGAATCACATCTATAACAATAATATATTTTTGACACCTGACATTATTGAATTACAACAGCCTGGGTGGTATATGCTTACTTACATTTAGAGAAGCATATTGAACACATATTTTTTTTTTATCCTATCACTAAGGTCTTCTTATAACTAAGTTTTACTAGAGTTTTGGCATGAAATCAAATCCCTGTATCATTATCCAGCTGTTTAATCAACTTGTATTTTACAAACAACCTTAGAATTACCCTAAATG